GGGAGGAGGGGCCGTCTGTGTTGCCTGGCAAACAGAGAAGAAATAAAGAACAGAATGTGACGTGAGAATGGGGACAAGGACATAAAATGGCATCAGGAGGGTACAAACCAGAAGGGGTATGGAAGATGGGAAGCTCTGTTCTGGTCTAGACTCCTTACAGAAAAACATGCATGGGCAGTTACTGAGCCGCAGAGTAAGCCAAGCAGCTGCCCCTCTCCCTCTGAATGAGTTAGGTCAGAAAGCAGTAGCACGAATGCTCTAAACCCCATTTTCCTCAACTCTAAAATGGGGGAGTCAGAGTCCGTGAATCCCAGGGTTCCTCTCCGGTGGTGAAATAATTGCAACAAGGCACCAGTGCCTGGCTGGGCAAGGAGAGGAAGGGCAAAGAGCAAGCCAGCCACTCACCTGCAAGAAGTCAGTCATGCCCTGGAGAAAGGCAGGGACACCAGGCATCGCCACGGTGATGGTGGGAGAGCCCATGCCAGGCCCTCCAGCACCTGGCCCTGCAGGCCCTAGCAGGTTCCCCAGGAGCTGAGAGAACTGCAGATCTGCGGTGGAGGGTTGAGGGGGTGGAGGCTGGGTGGGCCCCCCAGGTGCAGGACCAGCTGTGGTGGCCGTGTTGGTGGTGCCAGCACTGGCTGAAGCAGTGGCAGGGGCTGGAGGTGGAGCCATTCCTGGGGTCCCCTGAGCTGTAGGGAACAAAAGCAGCAAGTTGAAATCTAAAAAGAAACGAGACGCCGCAGCACCTCCATTCCCGTCTTCCAGCGGGAAGGCAAGAATAAAGGGACTACAGCGAGAACTGGGAGGCGCCATGAGGGCCAAGGAAGGAGGGTCAGCCTTCAGAGCCATGAAAATCTCATCATGAGGCAGTGAAGAACAAGGACTCACCCACGAGCACAGGCTGCATAAGAAGCTGCCCCACAAGGCCGCTCACCATCTGGGCCAAAGAGGCATTGGTACCCAGGCCAGCACCCTGCTGAGAAAGTGGGAGGTTTTTGGCCCTGCCCTTTCTATACCCCACCACAGGACTCCCTCCCCAGACATCTCTCCACCGAAACCCTCCCACCCTTACTCACCAAAGTCCCTGAGACTGGAGGACCCCCAGGATGGGAAGGTCGAGCTTGTGGAGGTGTGGGCCGGGCAATCACCACCCGGGTCGGAGCTGCTGGGAAGCCTGGCACCTGCTGTCCTGTGTGTGGCACAAGGGAGAGACCAAAGAGGGCTGAGGGCTGGGCCCATGCCTGCCAGCAGACTACACCCACCACCATGGACCATGGCCCCCCTCCCAGGCCTCCCTTTCCAGGTCATTACCTGTGGCCGCGGAGGCAACAGCTGCCACCATGGCCTGATGAGTGATCTGGTGGGCGACGGCGTGCATGAACTCAGGGGGCAGGGAGGGCAGCTGGATGAGGGTGGAGCCTGGGGGGCGGGTCTGATGTAACCTTGAACCTGGACCCCTTCAACCCACCCAATTGGCCCTACCCCTTCTCTACCCAGAGCTCAGCCTGCTCTGATGCCCTCACTCTTACCCAGGGTCTGGCCATGACCAGGGGTTCCTAGGGGGCCAGTGGGAGCACTCGGAACTCCACCAGGCTGTGTGCCAGAATCTGGGAAGGGAGACAGAGAGAGTGGGCATAAGACAATTAGGGCCAAGGCCTGACAGTATCCTCCTGAGATCAGAGTCCTTTCGGACCCCATTCCTGCCTAGAACACCTGCTGCCATTCCTGCTGCCCC